CATTACCATTTACATCTTACTGTAATTTTTTTTTTTTGTCTTTTTCGTGACCGGTAAGGGGATCACAACCCTTGGTGTGGAGTCGCCTGCACCGCGCTCAGCCAGTGAGCACACTGGCCAGTCCTATATAGGATCCAAACGCTGGCTGGCGGGAGCGTTGCTGCGCTCCCAGCGCCGCACCCTCCTGAGCGCACCACGGGGCCGGCCCATCTTACTGTAATTCTAATTCATATTAATACCAACTAAGTTTTAATAATAGACATAAAATTTGCTCCTCTATAGCTCCACTCTCACCATGTCCTTTCTACTGTTATTGTCCCACATTACATCTTTATACATTTTGTGTCCATCAACATATTTATAATTATTGCCCTATGCAATTGATCTTTTAAATCAGATAGGAGGCAAAAGATGTTAAAAAATACATTATATACTGTCTTTTATACTTACCTACATAGTTAGGTGCTTTTCATTTCTTCATGTGGATTCAAGTTACTACCTACTGTCCTTCAGTTCAGTCTGAAGGACCCCTTTTAGTATTTCTTACAGGGAAGGTCTTCTAGAAACAAGCTCTTAGTTTTTGTGTATCTAGCATAGTTTTGCCAAATAATAGAATTCTTGGTTGACAGTTTTTTTTTCTTTCAGCACTTCGAATATGCCATCTCACTGCCTTCTAGCCTCCATTGTTTCTGATGAGAAATCAGCTATTAATCTTACTGAGGATTTCTTGTGTGTGATAAGTTGCTTTTCTTTTGCTACTTTCAATATGGTCTGTCTTCGGCTTCTGACAGTTCAATTATGATGTGTCTAGGTGTGGATCTCTTTGAGTTTATCCTACTTGGAGTTCCTTCAGCTTCTTGAATGTGTAAATTAATGTTTTCCATCAGGTTTGGGAAGTTTGGGCCATTATTTCTTCAAATATTCTTTCTGCTCCTTTGTCTTTCCTTTCTCCTTCTGAGACTCCCGTTATGTGTATGTTAGTAAACTTGATGGAATCTCACAAATGGGTCTCTGAGACTCCATTCATTTTTATTTATTCTTTTTTCTTTCTTTTTTCTCAGACTCAATAATCTCGATTGACCTTCAAGTTCCTGATTCTTTTTTCTTCCTGCTCATATCTGCTATTGAGACCTGCTGGTGATTGAACAGAGACTTCATTAAATGCCTGGAACCAATAAGTCTCCAAGTTTTTGCCAAGGGGCTATGTGTGCATATTAGAGCATGCCTTCAGCACTCAGCCAGCAGTTTACAGCTCTGCCTTAACTCTCACTTCCTGCTGCGCAGAACCTCAAGATCAGCCAGGGTTGAGAGTTTAGGGCCTTCTCAGGTCTTTCCTGACCATACTCACAGTCCTACACGTGTATGGTCTTCCACATTCCAAGAATATATCTCATGATGTTCCAGTTTCCCAAGGATATGTTGGAGTATTTCAGAGTTCCTAAGGACATCTTCTTCCTCAGCTTTTCCTATTAAGCTTTCAATTAGGCCATTTTTCATTATTCATTGCCTCATGCAGCTGTCACTTTAAAACAATTACCTGGAATTGTTTTCCAAAAACATCCTCTAGTGAGAAACTTTTAGCACTGGGTAGCTCTCAGTCAGATCAAATAAGCAAACTTTTCAAGTGAGACCTTCCAGGGAACCACCAGACAGGTTAAATAATGACAACTGATCGGGAATGAGGTTTTGAAGGAGCACCAGCTCCATTCTGTTCCCTCTGGCAGTGGGGATATGGGCTAATTTTCAGGTTACCAATGATCTGGACAGTGAGGAATGGTCTAGGGCAAGTTAAAATGATACAAATCTCACTGTTACAGAAATTCAGCTATTTTTCTGGAATATTTATATGCTTCTTGGCTGCTACAAGCCTTGGTTAAATTTCCAGAGTTCTGAAAAAGTTGATTCTGACCATTTATACCATTTTTTGTTGTTGCCTTTATGGAGGGATGAAGTTTCAGATGTCCTTACTCCACCATTTTCACCGACATCACCTACAGCATGGTTTGAAATCTCTAGTCTCAATGACCATGGATTAATTAAATATTTAATCATGGAAAATGATTAGGGGAAGGGAGTAAAAAGAGAAATTGTAATTCTCATAGTGGCTTTCCCAGATAAGTACATGAAGTTTCAAAAGTTTTCCTATATTTAGTCTTCTTAAAATTAAGGATAAGGGCTGGCCCATGGCTCACTCGGGAGAGTGTGGTGCTGATAACACCAAGGCCACAGGTTCGGATCCTATATAGGGATGGCTGGTTGGCTCACTGGCTGAGTGTGGTGCTGACAACACCAAGCCAAGGGTTGAGAACTCCTTACCGGTCATCTTTAAAAATAAATTAATAAATAAATAAAATTAAGGTTAAAGTTTCAACTATTTCTTTTTTTTTTTGTCTTTTTCCGTGTCCGGCAATGGATCGCAACCCTCAGTGTCGCCCCCGCCCCGGCCCGGGACCAGCAACGGGACCGCAGCCCCCGGGGTTGCCCCCACGCC